TTTTCTTTATTTTCTTTTTCAGCAACTCTGCATCCACAATCTCAACAATCTCATTATCGCATCTGCTCTGAACTTATCTCTCATATAATCGATAGCCTCTATTTCCTTGGTTCAACACATCAGCTGTTTCTTTCTCCTCTCAATATTTTTATGCATTTGATTTTTCGCAAACGCGAAGATCATGAAATTCAAGTATTTCGCCATCAACTTGGTTAATCTCTCTTATCCAATACCAATTCCTTTGCTTTCCTGGGCCACACTTATGGCATTTATACCATCAACAACATTCCTGAGTACTAGACTACCACAGAATAAAATTTTAAAAAATAACCCCCACTCCAATATAGTTCTCAAGCCTTGTCGCGCGGCGAAGGGCAGAAGCGAGCTGGCTAAGTTGTTGGGGTGAGTGACAGTACCGATTTCATATGGTCGCTTCACAGGGCTTATAAATGACCGGCCTGTGGCGCGATCCTTGCATCGGTACTTTGTAGGCACAACATCTCGTGCAGATCGCCTCGGCCCTTCACTACCGCCTAACACGACTCTGCCACTCCGCCGGCCATTATACGACATACTCCATAGGCAACTCATAGCCAATTCGGTCATGAACAACTCGCTTTTACAGCGGCGCCGTGATAAAATGACTTAATTCCGGGTACCCGACAGGAGGCCCGTCGCGCGGCAACAAGGCAGAGTCAGCGGACGAGTCGCAGCGCGTACTGTAGTGATTTCGCGTCAAGTTAAATAGAATGTACCATTGTACGTCCTACATCGCACATCACGCGCTGCGACTCGTCCGCCGACTTCTGCCTTCTTGCCGCGCGACGGGCCTCCTGTCGGGTACCCCTGAATTCCAGTGGAAGATCTCACCTTTATTTTCCTGATAGGCGTCACTGCATATGTTAGATAATACTTCTCGCGATTCAGAGAAGGTACTGCTTGCAGGATGTAGATCTTAAAATAAATTTTCAGTGGTACTGTACACTATAAAAGGCACCTATTGAAAAGTTCAAGGCGCCCTTGCAGTAGGAAAGAGGAAGGAATGGTAGTATAACAGCTTGTGCCGCCTACAGTAATCCGAATCCGAAGCTTCCTGTCTGTGCAAAAATTGCAGAAATTGTTATTACCACAAACGGCACAAACTATTGCACCACAACGACTCCTCTCCCCCCCACCTACTAGCAAAGCGCCAAGTTCAGAAAAAGTAACAGACAAAATTTGACAACCTTCTTAGCGACTTCCTCCAACTGCTTCAACCCTAACCAGTTGTTCACGAAATATCTCATCACTGTCCATGGGTAGCGTTTCGTTGCGCGCTTTCTTAGCCACGACATGGCTGCAAAAAGTGTAATCGTAGAGGTTTCAAAAAACAACCAGGCTACGCCATGCCCTCGACATTCACTCTGAATCGTAGGTACTGTTGATAGTGCTACTGGAATTAATATCAGCCTAAAACAGAACCCTCAACTTACTTTTCTAAGTACAAATATCACATTCGGCTTCAAGGTCTGTAGCAAATCCGTGTAGTTCACGTTGTCTTTGCAGGTCGGTCTCTGGTGTTTCACCATCGTGTCGCATCCTAAAACTGGTTTTTAAGGTTAGATCATAAACAAAAAATTCTTGGTGCTAACAGTTGGAGAGCAGGGGGAATAGGGCAGTTGCGGCTCGGAGCATGTTCGCGCTCCTTCAGTGGAATTTTGTATACTCGCACATTCCACAGCCTTTCATGCACGTCAGGTGACCCTCTAGTGCCTGAACTGCCTACGTTCCTCTGATTCATGGATTTTCCGTTTTGCACCAGAAGGTGTGGACATACAGCGCGTCGTGGCGGCGACTGTGCCCCGAACTGTAACATCAGGGGGCGTCGCGGCCGGCAGTTCCGGCTCCCCCCCCCCACCAAAAAACTAAGTTAGCCTTAATCCTTGATATCGGTGCCAGTGAAGTGGACACCAATAAAAGCTGATGCATATGTGAACATCGAGCATCTCCACAAAGAAGTCTTTCCTATACCAAGGGGTTCGCGCACGCGGTTGCGGTGCGGCTTGTTGACAAGTTGGCAGCATCGACAGCGGTCACACCACGGCCATCTACACGATGTCGTTTGGCAGAGCTTGTTTGTTTACTCACTTTATTGTCGCTTGTTTGCACAATAGAACTATGTGTGATGCTAGATAACTCTAACAATTTTTATTGGCTGCAGACTAGACGAGAGGTCCTGAAAGGATGGCATGGATACGGTGGCTTGACACTCACCCTTCAGTGAGAATATATTAAATTCCTTTGCGTGTTCCTTGAATGTATCATAGACGATTGGTCCAAGATTCATAGCGTAATTGTTGCCCAAAACGAGAAAATTGTGTGGTCCAGGTCCGTTCTGTAATGAAAGTTGTTGTTCAGTAAAAATAATAAAATAAAAATTTGATGGGTCTATTCCAGTTAGGGGGGGGGGACATCATGGTGCGGTGACTCCCAAAAAGCTACGGTAACTCTGAGCCAGGGGAGTGTAGCCAGCCTAGGGGGATGGGGGGTGAGGGCAGTCACTTGACATGCGTGAGAAGCTGGACTGTTCGAGTTACACATAGTCGCCAAAGAAATGGCAGTCATGAGCCCCTCCCTCCTCCCTCGCCCCACCTCCCCAACAGTTGCCCGCAAACTAATCCATCCGTCTCTTTGCTTCTTATAAATGTATCATCATACTATAGCAATTCTAGGAAATTTTTCAGGCTAGGTGTCGGTGTAACCACGCTCTTAATTTTGCAAGAAAAAATGTCCAAAGGTGATTAATTGATTTATCCCTTGTATCAGCCATATTCGTCAAACTGCCATCGATGATCGAAATGAATTAGTATCCGATCACTACCTTCACAAAGAAACAGTGCACAGTCATTCACACTTGACCAATTACATCACAGCTCAACGAAAAGCATGTGGAAGGAAAGACCGCGTCGCAACCGCATTTGCGGGAACGCCCTCTCTTTTCCCGAGAAAAACGACCTCCATGCCGACTTCGAAACAACGCAGAATAATCAATGCGAAAAATGTATACCATGTGGATATAAAAGCGCTCGCAAGTTCAAATTAGGTTTTAAGAAAACAGTAATTCATCGAATCAATCAATAACACCTGCAATTCACAAAATCCAGACGGCGGGACTGATTTCGGTGCGAATCGATTGCTTAGGCGATGACATATCGATGTGTCCAGATTCCTTTGCATGTCATTCTCTTTGAAATTCAGATATCGCATAAGCGCTGAAAATATTTTGGAATAATTATGCTAAAAATCAGGAATAATAAGGTACTGTGGACGGCACCGTGGTGCAGAAGTCCTAAAGAGAATACCAGTCGGTAGGATTTTTCTACTGCAGGACCCATAGGTGGTCCTCACAACCTTTGAAGGCAGAATTCACGATGAAAAGTTAGCTCATTGGAAATAAGGGTAGAGGTGGTCAGTGGAGCAGGGATGAAGAAGAAACCATTTGAAACGGCCCGAAACCCGAGAAATGGGACCCCTTCCTTGCCCGTTGATTTGCGCATTGATGCGACTCTCATCGCTGTGCCCTCTTCAACACTACGCTCTCTCTGCTATCTAATCACTCGCCACGTATAGACCTGCGGCGAGTGATTAGATAGTCGGTGGGCGTACCCCGCCAACCGCGCCAAGAGTGAGCCATGCTCGAGGTCAAATCTTTCGCTGCCAATTGCGCGTCGGTCAGCAGGTCCGCCTGTCTCCCAACTATGCAATTTTCCCCTTCTTTGACCTTCGTTCTTATCGTGAATTCCTCCTTTAAGGATCAGGGGACGCCCTTAGGAGTTTAGAGACGCAATTGGTCCTCACGTATAATTGAAGTTTAAAGGCACATGCCGCCACTGAAAAATGCGGTTAGGGGTTTGTGTGCGAAACAACACAGTTGGGTGGTCCGCAAGTGGAGAAGCTCGCAAAGCAAATCATCAAAAGTCCTTATTTTGTAGCTCATATACAACACTGTACGAGCTTACGGCGAATAAACACTGGCGCCGAGAGAGGCAGCAGACAACGAGAACGCGAAAGAACATATAGAAGGCAGAGACACAGTCATAGCGTGTGACGATAAAGTCAAGGCGGAGTCACGGGTGAATGACAGTGTGGAGGGAGCAGCATTGGTCCTCAGTTCATCTGTGCTACAACACCATTCACCCACCTGGGTAGACCAGAGCGCTTTGGGATCGGTCCGCCTTCCTCGCGCCAAACTTACTTCTTTGCGTCATCACACGACAAGCCTCAACTGCTGCCTAAGATAATTCAAACCTGTCAAAGGTCGCACTTTTGATTTCCGGGGCATCCGGCGATTTTTTTTCTCGTGCATTCTGAAAACTCACTGATATTCCATGCAGCGTCAGACACGTTGATTCTGGAATAATCTGGAGGCACATCGAGCCGAAACTCGTCTTCGAATTCGCCATATTCCCCACTCTCGTCGTCGCCTCGAATCGCCAGCACACACCAAATGACTATCGCTCCACAAATTTGATAGCAGTACATCTGAAAATTATTAATGCACTTTACTACCAACTAGTGGGATTCACTGGAAACTCTTCAATGTACTGAGACTTCTGTTCCTCATCCTTTCACATCGAAGTGAATCCCACACCAAAACTCAACTTGGGAAGGGCGGCTTCGTCCTCGGTGAGTCGTGTGTTCAAATCTGGCAGTTATAATCGACTAATGCTGCTGATATGCAAAAGAGCGCGAATGAGCACTGCTGGCCGGTCCCCGCTCAAAAAAGTCGACGGTTAGGCCGATGTCATACTTTGCGAATTGAGGAATTCGCTAGCGTCCGATCGCGTCGCATATAGCGAGATCGAGCCATTCACCGCACGTGACGTGATCGCGGACGCTAGCGAACTGCTCGATTCGCCAAGTGTGACATCGGCCTTAACAGGACAACAAGGGACACAAAAGATACGTTCCCGTTCCCTAAGCCTGAACTAATGAAAATTTCTTCTGGAGCAAAAAATGCTGCCACTAAAGAATTACCAAGTCAATAGATTGTTAAAAAAACGCAACAAACTAGGTTTGTAAAGTGGCCCTAAGGAACGCCTTAGAAGCTAAGAAAGCACACATAGCGTCAGGGCGTCTTCTCATCGACCCTATGGCTTTTATGTAGTAGTCATTCTCGAAATGCTGGAAAATTGAATCGGATCACGCACGAGATATTTCCACGAAATCCTGTTCTGTGCTGTGCAGTTGAGTTTTTAGAGGGTAAATGTCAGCCGGAGCGTCGACTGTTCATCGGTTTGAACTGGATATTCATGTCGGGTCAGTCCAAGTCGGATTGGTAACGATATCAAAACTTCGTGGGAAGTCCACCGATTGAGGGCACTAGGCGCTTTCCCAAGGATTATGAACTCGTCCCGGAATGTCCCCGACGCGAGATTTTGAGGCGATCGTGTGGCTGAACACTTCCTTGAGAGGCCACAAAGCTTGAAAGTTCCCATAAATGCAGCTTCATTAGGAGTACTTAAAGACAGATTCCATGGTCACAAAGTGTAGATAATGCGCTCAAACGCTGGACCCAAACTCTGGACCTCTTCCTTGAAAGTCTGTACTATTATCATTGCGAGGGTGGCGGCAATATGATGCAATCACATTGGGATTTAAAGGCAAAATCGGTCTCACAAGGAAAGGATCCCACCTCGACATGGCCTTTCAGGATGGGATGCATATTTCTGTACTAATCTTGGGACGCTGAATTCGAATCTGCCCTCCAAATCTGCTAAACGATTCTCTGAACGAAGTTGCGAAATCGTTTATCGGCGGAGAGTGCGTTCATGAGTCACTGGAGCCGCAACGGGGATGTGCTTCGGTGGCGCAGTTGGTAAGCGGATGGACTTGGGGACTCGAGATGGAGGTTCGAATCCTTGATGAGTACGCTAGTTTTGCCTTTTATCCTTTCGGCTCCTAAACTTTTGCAAAACGGTTCTAGACCCCTTTTTGACTAGTAGCACGCCTTTTCGACCGCGAACACGTGCTGAAAACAGGGTTTTGAGCACAAATTTCATTTCAACCACCAATGCTCAAGGAATGACCAGGAGAGGATTGTACGCAACCTCCATCGCTCGATTTCGCATTTCGACACCTTTCGGCAATCGTATTTGACAACATGTTTGGCCAGCAGAGGATTTCAAAACCTTTGGATGCCCATGTGCCACCCCAAAGAAGAAGCAGCGCAACAGTCATCTTCTCAACATACTCCCCATCAGACTTCCAGCGAAATGTTCTGCCCAAAGGTGGTGCTGTCTCATTTGGTGAAGGAATTTGGTTCCTGTGACATTACGCGAGCACTATTTCGGAAAGAGCGAAAGCTGATAGAGGGTTTTTCCTCGATATTGCGTGACGCTATATATGACAACCTTCTTATCGACATCGAGGAAGACAATTTCGTGGAGAACGACCACACTGACCCCCTCTGGTCACCTGAAGACGACAGTTTCGGCACAACCAAACCGATTTCAGTAATACTCGCATTGAATAAAGTCTTCAGTTCCTTTACATAAACGGAAGATGCTTGCGGTTCCCATTGAAACGGAATTTTCCGTGGAGACCCTGTTTTCAGCACGTGTTCGCGGTCGAAAAGGCGTGCTACTAGTCAAAAAGGGGTCTAGAACCGTTTTGCAAAAGTTTAGGAGCCGAAAGGATAAAAGGCAAAACTAGCGTACTCATCAAGGATTCGAACCTCCATCTCGAGTCCCCAAGTCCATCCGCTTACCAACTGCGCCACCGAAGCACATCCCCGTTGCGGCTCCAGTGACTCATGAACGCACTCTCCGCCGATAAACGATTTCGCAACTTCGTTCAGAGAATCGTTTAGCAGATTTGGAGGGCAGATTCGAATTCAGCGTCCCAAGATTGGTACAGAAATATGCATCCCATCCTGAAAGGCCATGTCGAGGTGGGATCCTTTCCTTGTTAGACCTCAGAAGCCCTTACCATGGCTAGAAGTGCTGGGCACGCCAAGTGCAAAGTTAGCGCCACCTTTCTACATCGAAACCCGTCACCAGGACCCTAGGCGCCATGAACTTCTAACAGACTCCACCAAACATAACATGGTCCGCCCACCGATCGATGTCTTGTCTGCGTCGCTGCGTTGATCTGCTATGCTCTCTCTTCTCGGACTTCTCTACCGCTCTCCGCGCTCCCTACTTTCACATTTGCGTGCAATCAACCCATCAGTGTCATCCTGACTCTTACCTTTGAGTGCACAGGCCGTGACTACCACATCCTGCTGTGGCCGGACAACTCGTGCATCACTCAACCTTCTCAAAGGATAAAAAAGGATAAAGCATTGCCGTTGATCAATCCCTTTTTGGGATGCGGCACGCATTCTACTTCCATTTGTACATTCGTAGTGGCATTTGAATGCGATGTGGCCTATACAATGACTTGCGGGGGCCAGCCGATGTACAAGTCAGTTTTTTATCCTCCCAGACAAGTCTGGTACCAATTAACCGACCCCGGAGGGATGGAAGGCTTGGTTGGCCCGGGCGACTCACGACCCAGGATTTGATCCCGGACCGCTCGCGTGGTAAGCGCGCCACTTGCCACTACACCACTTCCGCCCCTCAACTTCCCAGACTTCAGCAATTGATTGGTCTGATCTGATCTGAAATTTCTCGTTCAATCTCAAAGATCTAGAATAAGAGCGCATAGCTTGTGCTGGTCTGATGCCAAGGCAACAGGTGCGGAACGAAACATGTTGTGTGGACGAGTTATCCGGTCATGGTGTCATGAACGGTGCCAATGGGTTCGCGCCACATGACGGAACCCCCGCTTCGGCCTCATGACTCGATTTGAAAAATCGTTTAACAGATTGGAAGGCAGATTTAAGATCAGCGTCTCAAGTCACATAGAAAGGTGAACATCTCATTTTGAATGACCAAGGTGATCTGAGGGTCTCCTTCTGTCAGCGTACAAACGAGGGTATGGCTCAATCCAGCTGGCATTACCACGTCCAATGCATCGGCTAGTCGTGATTAGTTGCTTCTCCTGGACCATGATTTTTTAGGCCACCCAATTGATTTCACAGTATCATTCATCGTTTCAGCTGTCAGAGTAGCCGACGGCAAATGTGTCACAGCTCAGATGACTTGCGTCGCAGACGAATGGATGATCGTTGTTTACATGAAACAGACACCTCCGGCTGCCCCGACGAGCCCATTCGCCGATGACCATGCTTGATCGTTGGCTGCTACTCCTGGTATTTTTGGCTATTGCTGGCCCAAGGGCTGCAGCCGATTCTCCATCAAACAGTGCCGATCTGAAAGCACGGCTGGATCTGTCGGCATTCAAGTTCTTCTCGAAAACTGCTCATCATGTGGTAAGTCTAGAACAGTTCTTCGTTTGGGCTGAACAGAGTCCAGTCTATGATTATTGATTGTCCAAGGTCTTCGGCATTGTAAAGGTTTCTATCTAATGTGCGGATTTTTGAAGCGACAACCCCATATACATCGTGGGGAACAATCTATTCTGTGATAAGATGGAGTAGCCTGCACGTATCCCAGTAGTGTCGTTGTCACGGCTCAAAAGTGCGCAACAATGGCGCCATGGTCTTACAAATTGAGCTTATGATAGCTACTGTGGGCTGATGGACGAGATACCTCGCGCACGTTCTATAACGTGGATTACGACACAGCGACTAGTTCAAATATGCCGCCGCCCTTCCTTCTCGCGGGCTTCCATCTGGGTGCGTGACTATACAATCGTGGCAGTAAGTAGGTCGCCGCGCCAGGCCGCCGCAGCCAGCAATATCGCGGCGAATTTGCAAAGAACTCAGCATCCAAGCATTGGGGAATGTAAGATTAGATCATGTTTCCCTTCATGAAACATGGAATAAGAACCACCACCTTTAAAATGCAGTTTCGTTTTCGCTCGCCGTTATTACATACTTATCATATCATGCTTATGTTAGAGCCTTCCTCGCCGCTACTCTGTGTCTTGATACGCAATATTCTTTCCGATTGAACCAGATTATCACTCTCTGATAGAAATTCAGGAAACTGATTAATAAAGAAGTCAAATTAAATCCAAAAGGACAACCTTTACACGGTACAAAGTTTGTACTGCGAGGCTTAAATCACTGCAGGGATCTTACAGTGACGCTTGCTGGCTTACTGATGTCCAGCACTCTGGTGTTATCAGTCACCTAGCCAACTTATGGGCATGGATGGATAAGAAAAGGTCCACACAGAAATCGCCGCAGCAACTGCCGCACGCGACGATTCTCGCCGCGTGAGCGGCGTGACCTCATTAGCCGACGATTGTATAGTCCGTCGCCCCTTCATGCCGTCCTTTGTTGGGCCTCACTATTCACTCTCACAGTTACCTCGGCATCCACAATCGCATTATCGACCGCTGTTACACTGTGGGGTTCTTGTTTCGAATGCTCCACCGTCCCGAATTCAGCTGAGTCACACAAATGATTCCAGCTGCCGCGTCATCCGTTCCAAATGGGATGAAAAAAGGCTGAATCACTGGCCATCGAATCGCTTCGATGTCTCACAAATATATACACTTTTTCCAACAGCGAACCATCATAAATTGCACATAAATGAAGGGTTTTTATAAATAGCTGTTTTCTTACTTTGTCTTTGCTTTATTGGTGTGATGGCGACGCTCGCAAGGCGGGTACCCCCCAGGAGGCCCGTCGCGCGGCAAGAAGGCAGAGTCGGCGGACGAGTCGCAGCGCGTGATGTGCGATGTAGGACGTGCAATGGGACATTCTATTTAACTTGACGCGAAATCCCTACAGTACGCGCGCGACTCGTCCGCTGACTCGCCTTCTTGCCGCGCGACGGGCCTCCTGGGGGGTACCCTCGTAAATCGTACAGATTATCTTGGAAGCAACCAGGAACAATAAGTGACATGGCTCTGTATGCACCCTTGAGCGCATTTCTTCTACACTTTTGAGATTTCTTTTCTCCAAGGACCTGTTCCCAGAACAAAATTCGTACTAACCGCTCTGCAGCCGCGCGCGTCTCGTTCAGCTTTTCCCAACTTCTCGCCGCGCCTATGTACTAGGTATGCTGCACAGATCGGGAATTTCCCATGTGCTCTTAGCTGTGTATTTTGCACAAACTATAGTATACTTATACAGAATTATCTTCTCTCTCTGGCAATTTGAACCGATCCTAAATTAAAATCATAAATCCTAAGAGGTGAAGGTAAGTGGAGCATAGCTCAATTGTGGACGCTGCTCTGGACCAAAATCAACTTGCAGATTTCAAAAATGTCACGACCCTCCACTTCGTTGGGCGGAAGTGGTGTAGTGGCAAGTGGCACGCTTACCACGCGAGCGGTCCGGGGATCAAATCCTGGGTCGTGAGTCGCCCGGGCCAACCAAGCCTTCCATCCCTCCGGGGTCGGTTAATTGGTACCAGACTTGTCTGGGAGGATAAAAACACTGACTTGTACATCGGCTGGCCCCCGCAAGTCATTGTATAGGCCACATCGCATTCAAACGCCACTACGAATGTACAAATGGAAGTAGAATGCGTGCCGCATCCCAAAAAGGGATTGATCAACGGCAAATGCTTTATCCTTTATCCTTTTAAAGGAATCTTCCGCGGAAAAAGCTCCGCCTCCATTACCACAGAAAAACGATACCCCTTAGGCCCCTAGCCTCATGAGCATAGCAAAAAGAACGGAACATAAGCGTTAGTTTCGATAATACTAATCCTACACACAAGACAAAATGATCACTCTTTCCGTGGAAGATTCCTTTAAGGTATCGTTTTCTGTGGTAATGGAGGCGGAGCTTT